TGGTGCCAAAATGATTGGGAACTGCTGTTTTAGATAAACACTGTAAGTGACTATATGCAGAAACAAAATATTTTTTCGGCTTCTGAATGAAGCTATTGCATTATTTAAACTGATAAATAACCTGTAAACTATAGTAGAAAAACCTTGGTCTGCTTCAAATGGCAGAATTTTATAGGTCTTTAAATTCAGTAAATAACACGAATTCAGTCAAGGTTCTATGGCTCAAATACAGAATTCAATAGAGGAGTGAGATCTTGCCTAAGCCAAGGGACTTGGCTGTTATGACTAATGTGACTGCCTACTTGCTCCTCCATTGTAAGTGAGGTATTTTCTGAAAATATATGCAAAGGCTGCAGGCCATTCATGCCTTTCTCTAGCATACCCAATATTCAGAGTTTCCTAAGGGACTGATACCCATATTTAGAAACTCTCTTGGCTTAATTTGAACTTTATTTTCTAGTACTAGGGACATATGCTACCAAAATTATAGAGCTATGAAATTAAATAAAGTTTTCTTGGCTGGACATGGTGTTTCAAGCCTGTAATCCCAGCACTTTGGGAGGCTGAAGCGGGTGGATCACTTGAGGTCTGGAGTTCAAGACCAGTCTCACCAACATGGTGAAACCCCATCTCTACTAAACAAATGCAAAAATTAGCCAGGCATGGTGGTGGTGTCTGTAATCTCAGCTACTTGGAAGGCTGAGGCAGGAGAACTGTTTGAACCCAGGAGGCAGAGGTTGCACTGAGCTGACATCACGACACTGCACTCCAGCCTGGGCAACAGAGTGAGGCTCCGTATTAAAAAAAAAAAAGTTTTCTTAATCTTTTCACCCCACTTGGAAGAAAACTCCCCTTTTCAAGATCAAGAATATAAGCAGTTTGATATACGTATCTGGTATGGAAGTAAACAGAAGAAAAAAGTCTATTGATAGCAGTTGGCTTTGGGAAGGGAAATGGAAGAGGAATGGCTAGACTTTCATTTTTATTTTCTACATGATTAGGATTTAATAAGATTTTCTTATGTACTTTTAAATACTTTTTTTTTTTTTGAGATGGATTCTAGCTCTGTCACCCAGGCTGGAGTGCAGTGGCATGATCTTGGCTCACTGCAACCTCCGCCTCCTGGGTTCAAGTGATTCTCCTGCCTCAGCCTCCTGAGGGGCTGGGACTACAGGCATCAGCCACCATGCCCGGCTAATTTTTGTATTTTTAGTAGAGGCAGGGTTTTACCATGTTGGCCAGGCTGGTTCAAATTCCTGACCTCATGATCCATACTCCTCAGCCTCTCAAAGTGCTGGGATTACAGGTGTGAGCCACCGTGCCCAGCCCTGGTTTTCATATTTTTAAGCCAACTGTCTTTCCTCAAATGAAACCTTATCCTTAAATCCTACAAGTGGAACTAAGGTGGTGCTGCAGGACCCCTGTCTACGCACCTCTGTTCCTTCTGGCAAGTGAAGCATACTGCGGAAACCATTTCTGTAAACATGTTTTCACATAGAGAGATATTTGTTAAATGTTCTCTTTTTTCAAATTATCTTACTAATCTAAATGTTTACAAGTACTTTCTGTAATATTCCAGAAGAAATAAAGGAACTATCAACTTGCAAATGTCCTAAGGCTCTCAGTCAAGTAAAATAGACTTACTGCTATCTTTTCAATTACTACTAAAAAATATGGATAAAGACTTTTTACTCTTGTTATTTGCTGTCTGTGATTTGGATAGGCTGACATTTAATGGGGTAATCTTATGGAGAATTTACATACATTGCTTGCTATGATTTGAATGTTTGCTTCCCTCCAAAATTCAGATGTTGGAATGCAACTGTCAAAGTAATAGTATTAAGAGGGAGGTACTTTTGGAAAGTGATTAAGTCACTAGCATTCAACCCTCATGAATGGGATTAGTGCTCTTATAAAAGGGGTCAAAAGGAGCAGCCTAGTCCCTTTTGCTCTTTCCCTTCTACCATTTGGGAACACAGCTTAGTCTCTTCTTCCATGTGAAGTAGACATGGGAAGAAGTCACCATCTTACAAGCAGGGAACAAGTCCTAAACAGACATCAAAGCTAATTGGCACCTTGACCTTGGACTTCCCAGCCTCCAGAACTGTGAGAATTTAATTTTGATTATTTATAAATTATTTAGTTTGTGGTATTTTGTTATAGTAACAAAAATTGACTAAGACATTGCTAGAGTACTCTATTGTATTCATGCCTTTGAAAGAGCATCACTGTGATTATTCAATACTCTATGATGATTCTAATAACAGTCTCCTACCTTTGTGTTCATCCATTCATGTGTTGAAAGTATAGGTTTTCAGTCTCATATAGTATTTCTATATAGAACATACAGAAACATTCCAGTTTCTCTACTTGCTTATCAACACTGATCTAATGCTCATTTCCCTAAAGGAGCCCTACCCAGCAATGAGGAATTCAGATCTGGCTCAGAGTAGGGCTTAAAATTTTCTTTGACAATTAGTTACCAAAATGACTAACAATGTTTCCCTGAATGAGAACTACCTTATCTGAAAGCCTTAGGTGAGTCAAATACATGGGGCCAAGTTACCAAAGGAAAACAATCACTGTTTTGATTGTAATCTCACTGACTCATGAAGCAAAACACTATATAATGAGATATGAATAAAAGGAAACTGCCCCTACATAAGAAGGGATCCATTACTTGCTTTCATCCTTTCTATTCTCTCTCCTCACCAATGGGAAATGTATTTATTAAAAGTTTAAAATATTATTTCTAGGCCCACTAAAATCAGAATCTACCCCAAGTGGGTAGATTCACAGACGTGAATTATTGACTGTCTAAATGCCAAGTGTTCAGGTATGCCAGTGTGTCCCTTCCCCAGCCCTAGGGATAAATCATGACTGGTCTAAATAAATCCCTGTAACACCATTCCTTATTGCCAGTTATTGATTAATGACTGAACATGATTCATTTCTTGCCATTGGAATTTGTAGGCAAGACTATTGGGGCACATTAGGTAAGATTTTCCTCTTAATTAAGACAGAAAGAGAAGAGGAAAATTCTCCCCTCTTTTTGATTTTAAATGACCAGGTGAAGAGGCAAGGGAGGTTGGGGTTGTAGATGGGTTTCTTGGGACAATTCTAGCAGCCATCATTCACCCATGAAGAAAAGGCAAGATTAGCTAAACACCGAAAGCAACCTAGAGCCCAGATATTATTGAGCTACTGAACAAACCCTGGACCCACCTACCTTCAAACATCTTCGTGTATGAGAAAAGTAAATTAGCATTTTTGAATGGATTTTTGGCTGAATATCCTGTTACTTGCAGCCAAAAGCATCCTAACCAATACAATAGGTGATCTTGCTGTAGAACCATCCCTGAGAAGCCCTGATGAACAGTGAGGATGAGGAACCTCTGGCTTATAAACTTCAGCTTCTATCTCTCTACCTTCTTGATATAGTGCAAAATCATCAGAGATGATGAATGATCAGAGCACTGCCTTTGTGTTGAAATTTCTCAAAAATGTCCAGAAAGTAACATTTGAGAAAGTTAAAAATTAGTGCCAAGGTTTTCACTGACATTCTTTTAATGAACAGAAATTATTTGGATTGTAAGATTATATATTTCCCCTCCTCTACCCTGAAGATAAATTGTAATATTTGAACACTGAATGAAGAAAAGTTGGACTTATAAACGTTTGGTTGTTTACCAAATTTCTACTCATGAAACAAAACAACAACAACAAAATATTACTACCACTGCTGCCTGGAGTTTCATTTCTTGCTTTTTCTACTCGAAGAAATTCAAAATCTAACTCAAACGTCACTTTCTCAGTATTTCCTAACTCCAATATTGACAAACTCCCTCATTTTCCTCTCTGAGGATTCATTCATTCATTCACTCAACAAACGAACTATTATGCTCTTGTTATGTTCTAGTCCTTAAGCTGAGGATTCAGAAGTGAACAGTTTTACATAGTTCCTATATTCAGATCTTGTAATCTAGTCAGAGAATGATAAATGATTCCTAAGCAATCGTAATGAAATATGGTTAAGTTTCAACTTAAGACACATGCAATAACAACTCCATCCCTTAATAACTTTCATTTTCTTTTCTTTTCTTTTTTGAGACGGAGTCTCACTCTGTCACCCAGGCTGGAGTGCAGTGGAGTGATCTTGGTTCACTGCAACCTCTACCTCCTGGGTTCAAGTGTTTCTCCTGCCGCAGCCTCCAGAATAGCTGGGATTACCAGCGTGCGCCGCCATGTCCAGCTAATGTTTATATTTTTAGTAGAGATGGGGTTTCACCATGTTGACCAGGCTGGTCTCCAACGCCTGACCTCAAGTGATATGCCCATCTCGGCTTCCCAAAGCCTTAACAAGTTTCTATGGTGTGTGAAGCACAAGAGTAACAAAGATGACTACGAGGCAGTCTATCCTTTAAGGAGGGTGTCAGAGACTGATACGTGTTTACCGAATTTCTTCTGCCTGGGCCTACAGTACATTTCCAGTCTCCCTTGCAGGTCAGTGTGGCATGTGACTGAAGTTTGGCCAATGGGATGTGGGCATAAAGAGTATGTTATTTCCAGTCCTTGGCCATAAGAAACAATCTTCATGCAATCCTCCACATAGCTTCTCTTTTTCTGTCCGTTGCCTGGGAGCTAAGCACTCCAAGGTCTTAGGGGATGGCAAAACCATAATATAAAAGGAGTTTCGGTTCCTGAATCATTGAGTAGAAGGCCACCAGCTGAACACGTGAATGGACTTGACATGAACGAGAAATAAGACTGAACTACGTTGAGCTACTGAGATTTTTTACTTTATCTCTTAAAGCAGCTACTGTTGTCTTAAGGTTATACTCTCTAGTCAATAGCATTTGATGATTCTTAGTACCTCAAGAACGCTAACCTAGTCCACAAAGGCAAGTCCCACTGGTTAATCTGAGAACTAAAATAAAAGCAAGCAAGAAAAATCCACGCCAACACCTGACAACAGTAAACACACGCGCGCGTCACGTTACCGGGTGTACAAACAGAAAAGGCTGGCTCTCGCTCCCTTCTCCAGCCCAGCAGGCCTACAGGGTCTCCACCGCGGGCGCTGGGTTTATTTTTACTCTTAGTGTCTCGGGGCCTCCCACTTGGCAGTCTCCAGCGGAGTCGACCAGGCTCAGTCGGATTAGGAAACAGGCTGTCAGGGAGGCAGTGGAGCCTGGTCTTGCCACCCGCGCGCTGGGGTTCCCGGTTTGCGCATCGTTCCAAGCTGAGCGGGGAGGCAGCGATGATTGCAGATAAACGGCTTCCGGACGCGGCACCGCGTGTAGGCTGCCCCGCCTTTCGCACACACCCGCGGGGCGAGTCACAGCAGGGAGGTCCGCCCGTCGGCGCCGGTACAGGATCTGGAGCAAGCCCGGGTTGGTCCGGGGCCCGCAGCAGCCGCCGCGCTTGCCCTCTGCCGGGTTTCGGGTCGGGCAGCGGGTAGGTGGCGCCATGCCAACCACGGGCCCACATCCTAAGGCCTCGGAGCCGCTCAGCGCGGCCTTTCAGCTGCTTATTCTCACTGGGCGGATCCGCGGGCTCCCGCTGCCAGGACCAGCGCGCTCCCGGGGAAGCTTCGCGGAAAGCTTACCCAGGGAGCGCGGACCCAGGCGCCGAGTCTTCCCGGAGATGACCAGACCCGGCGCGGGGAGCGCAGCAGGCTACCCGGGACTCCGCGGCGCAGGCGGGGCAGCCAATTGCTTATCGTTCTCGAAACCAACCTGTAAGTTGTGTATCAGTACTCCACCTGTGAGCTGTACTTTTTTTTGGAAGTGTCTTCTCAGATGCAGTGGGAAGATAGGATTCTTTCTTAAGGTGACCAATGGCGAGATAAAAGACTTGTTCTGCCCCCCTTCCCCCGCCCTTTATCGCTTAACACCTGCATTGTGATTCTATTTAACTGTTATTTCATATTTGTGTCTTCCTTTTCTCCGTATTTCCTCTTGTGTGTGTGTGCGTGTGTAAACGCGCGCACCCCTTACCTGTTTTTCACTCCTGTAAACAAGTGCCAATTTTAATCACCGCTTTTCAGGCAAGGGAGACTGTCCTCAAATTTCTCCACCAGACAGAAGGCATTCATTCTTGTCTCTCACGTTCGTTTTTGTGATGAACCTAGGTTCCATGCAATAACCTTCAGATCATCTGAAATGATTATTTTCCTAAACTGAACTCTTCCTCTCCTAAAGCTTGCAAAAATTTCTGTGCCATTCAGCTTCCTCTTACCACAGGAATGACATATATTTTTCCTTTTAGTCTTATGTCCTTCATTAATATATCACCTGATTTGAATAACATGACTTCCAGGAACATTGAATTTTTTGGCTAGATTTTACTTCATTTTTATTGCTGATAGTATTTATAAACATGTTTTATAGTTTATGGTCAGCTCCGAAAAAGACTAATTTAGAGCATTTGTTAATGTTGGAGCCCATTTTGTAGAATGCATTGTACATTTTTTAGAATTAATTTGTTCACAGCTATACATATATTATACATGTATACCTACTCACAGCGTAAAGTATTTCATAGCATATTTGAAAGAGTCAGTGTTCTAGAATTCACTAGAGAAGTTATGGCATTTTGATTGTGATACACGAAAAGAAACCCAAGTGACTTAGCTAAACTCCTTAATTTCACAAACCAGAAAACTAAAATCCAAGATAAATTGGGTGACTTGGTCTAGGTCACAAAGCAAAGTTATCCATAATTCAGTATGTAATGCCTGGTCCAAAACCCCAGAGATATTCTTATAATCAATGGACTCTTTCAGAATGCTAGTTAAAATATCCTTTTGTATGAATTTTAACCTATCTTTCATCAACAGCATGATATTCTTCCTCATACATAAAGTGCTGTCTCTTCATTGTCCATTTCAAAATTTTCCTTGTTAATATTAATGTTTTAGGAAAAACAGCTAAGAGTAACTGCGCATTTATTATCTCAGTGTGCATCATACCATTTGGTCCTTTGAGGCTACAACAAGTAAAAAACAAACATAAAACCCTTAAATTAAAATGAAAAGACTTTGCCCTGACAATTTATTGAATTATTATCCATAAACTTTTTCTTGAAAATTTATTTTCTTTAATTTCATTTGTTTCCTGTTACATGATTTATATTTAAATTTACATTTGTTTATCCAGAGACTATGTCCAAATTTTATGACCTCTTGTCTGTTACCCTGGAGTTTGGTGAAGAAATCTGTACTTAATTGAAAAAAGAAATCCCTCAAACTGACATATTGTCAGTTAGCTAACTATGTATTTCTTAGGCCCATGTCATGTATCATTGCTTATTTTACTAAAGATTGTTTAGACTGAGAAAATACTATTTAATAAGGGATGACATCCATTAAGTATAAACACTGAATTATTTTTCATAATGTAACAGATTGACAATTTAGAACTCCTTTACTCCTTTTACTATAAGTTATTGAAGCCAAACACCTTCCTACCTTTGCTGTTCATTTATGATGGTGTAAAATTTTAACATTAGGATCTACATACAGAACAATGCAGAATAATATAAAAATATTAGAACAATGAAAAATAGAATAAAGTGGAATTATTATTTAGCTACAGGGTCTTGCTCTGTCACCCTGGAGTGCAGTGACATGATTACTTCCTGCCTCATCAATCCTCCCTATGTTAACCAGGCTGGTCTTAAACTCTTGGCAGCAAGTGATCCTCCTTCCTTGGCCTCCCAAAGTGCAGGAATTACAGGCATGAGCTATCCTAGTCCTGAAATTACTATCTTCTTCCTTAAAAAAACCCCCACAAAACCAAAACCGCTTTTTTTTTTCATATTTACATTTTAATTTTATAGGCTGCAATTGGCTGTTTGTATCATCTAGAAAGTCATGTGTTGAAATCCAAAACCCCAATATGATACATTAGGAAGCGGGCCTTTGGGAGGTAATCTGGTTATAAGGGTAATGCCCTCATGAACAGGATTAGTGTCCTTTTAAAAAGACACATAAGAGTTTGCTTTTTTTCTCTGCTCTTGCTATGTGAGGATGTAGCAAGAAGATCACCATCTGCAAACCAGGAAGTGGGCCCTAACCAGATACCATATCTGCTCACACATTGATCTTGCACTTCCTAGTCTCCAGACTGAAAAAGAAATGTTTGTTGTCTATGACACTCACTCTACGGTAATTTGTTGTAGCAGCCCAAAGTGACTAAGACAGATTCTTACAAATTGAGGTTTATTTTAAAAACGATTCTGTCGCAATGAGTTCAACACTTTTATTTCATTTCCTTACAGTGATTTTAGAAGAGATTACAAAGGTATTAATATACTTGAAGAATCGGACTCTTTTAAACAGTGACATTATTAAAAAGGGCTTATTTTCATCAGAAAGAGATGATTGGCGAGTTTTCTTCATAACCAGGTTCACTGTGGACAGAAAGGGGCTGCCTTCCTTCCCACCACTGAAATCCTGAAATCACAAGCTCCAGCCTCCATCAATGATGACAGGGTTACCAGTTACATAAGCAGACTGCAGTGATAAACACAAGGAGACAGAACAATTAACAGTTTTCAAATTTTCCTATGACTAGGATAACTACACAATTTACTCTTGTCCTAACAGGAAACCTCACTTAAACACTTAATTCAGGGAAATCCAAATTAAAGTTTGGTTGATTCAGAACTGTGGAGTTCTGCGATCTGGAACTAAGTGGCTTCTGGCTGGTGCCTAAGCATATGCCACTGTGAGGTATTTGGTCTCAGAATCCCAAATTTAAGGAATGGTGATATATAGCCATTTCCCAAATTAGGAAATAGGCTAAATGCACATTTTCATTTTAAAACTCAGAACTATTCAAAACTAGCTAAATTTTATGCCACTAATAAACTTTTGAACATGTGTGTCAGTCATAAAATGGTCATATTAATGACTACTTTTTTTAAAAAAAGACAGCATATATTTAGTTGGTCAATATAAGTAGATAATTCCAGGAGCTGAAGCATACTAAATGTGTTTTAAAATTTTACATGAATAATAATAACTATAATCTATTAAGCTATACAAATATTCTGTATTAGTTTCAGACATCCAAATCTTTATAAAACTAAAGGATTTAAAAAATAATTACTGGTTTATTCCCATAAATTATTCATTTTCTAAAAATTAAGGCTTTAGTGATCTTTTTGGTAGAAGTTTAAAAATCTTTTAACTTAACATGGATAATAAAGACTCAATCAGTTCTAAATTCATCTAAAGCCTGAAACAATGGAAGAGGAAGTAAGGACAATCATAATAAATAGAAATTTTAAGAGTTCAATATATAAAAGCTGGTAATATACAGTAGGTGAACTAGGGAGTTATTAGGCACTTTACCAAAGAAATGCCTCCAGCTCCCCCAAGTTATTTTAAAAGGTAAGCTCTGTTATACATATAAACTCCTCTGGACACCTCTAAAAAGCCAAAGGTACTTTTGTGGCACATTTTAAGCCAGAACTCTTCCAAATATTTTGTAACCTAAGCTCTGGCTAACTAAGCTAATCAGCAGTAATTTAGCTTATCAGCAGTACCCAAATCAAATGAGCTTTTCTGAAGATATGGATTCAGAGAAATCACAAAGGCTCATGTACTTCTCCATTAAACATTTGTCTATTAATTTCTCCAGCTATTAACAATTGTTGTTAATAGTTGGGAGAAGTTCTGAGAAGAAACTGTGCTGTCACAGAAACATTTCAACCCCTGTATCTGTCACATTCACCAACAACCTGGTGTGCACCAAGTTACTGGGAAGAGAAGCTATCAGTTGTTCCCTCCTCACTCCCAACTAGTCCCCTTTCCTTCCCCCTTCTCACACATTACAGCTCCTTGTTTATATAGTATCCAAAGACACAAAACAGAGGAGGATGCTCTTTTGCTCTATACCTTATAAACATCGTTTTTGCTTTCATCTTAAGCCATTTAAAAGTATACAATAGCCATTAGCCATTAGCCATTAAGAAAGAAACTGTTAAACAGATGCAAAATGGAAGAGGTTAAATTTCCATACACGATGATGAACAAGTAATAATTTTAAAAAATTTTGTTTTATTTATTTTGAGACAGAGTCTCGCTCTGTCACCCAGGCTGGAGTGCAATGGCATGATCTCAGCTCACTACAACCTCCGCCTCCCACGGTCAAGTGATTCTCTTGCTTCAGCCTCAAGAGTAGCTGGGATTACAGGCACCTGCCACCACACCTGGTTATTTTGTATTTTTAGTAGAGATAGGGTTTCGCCATGTTGGCCAGACTGGTCGCAAACTCCTGACCTCAGGTGGTCTGCCTGCCTCGACCTCCCAAAGTGCTGGGATTCAAAGCATGAGCCACCACGCCCAGCCACAGGTAAGAATTAATAGAGAAAAGAGAGCCAGTAGAATTCTCCCAAACAAGTCACAAGTAAAACTAAAACACCACGCACCAATTCTGTGTCCACTGAACACAAATCTGCTTAATCCTCTCCTCATTTCACTTAAAGCTCTTATAATCCTAGAGGTTCATTTGTTTGATTTACATTTAATCAGGGTTTCCCCAATTATAATTTTTGAAAGGAACTGTCTCTTAGAAAATTGAGCACTTTCATTTTTTTTAGTCCTCCCTTTTGTTTGCTTCAAGATGTTATGATAAAGCGGGATAAGAAAGAGTTAGTGGCTCAGGTCAAAGTGGTCTTTCTTTGAGCAAATTAAATGAGAATTTATCCCTATCTTATAAATGTAGCATCTTAGCATACATATGCTATAAACTCTCTAAAATGATATTATGTTGATGAGCAAATTGTTGCCAAATGTGACTGAGGATAATGAACTCCTTGGAAAAAATAGGGCTTACTTCGTCAGAAGCCAAATACACGCAGAGCATGGCTATTTCTTCTGCCGTTGCAAATCTTCCCATCTTCTGTCTCTTCAGGAAATCATTCCGTGCCTGTGACCAGAGACCATACCAGACATCAGTCCCGTGAGCAGCTGCATGTGCTCACCTGCATCTTCTCCAAAGAGTCAAAGGCAAGAGAATCCACTGGTTTGCTGCCTTGATGAATAATCAACTAGGTTTATGGTGAGTCTTTTGCCAAAGTTACTCAAATTATTTGTGTTATACCAAAACCCACAGATACTGTGACGGATCAGAAAGCTAACATTAAAGATGAGGGCATTTTTTTTTTTTTAATGTTTGAAGGTTATGGTAAAGTATACATAACATAAAATTTACTATCTTAACCATTTTGAGTGTACAGTTCACTGGCATTAAGTACATTCACACTGTTGTGCCACGATCACCACTGTTTATCTCCAGACTCTTATTTTATTTTTATTAATTTTTTTTTGAGACGGAGTTTCGCTCTTTTTACCCAGGTTGGAGTGCAATGGCACGATCTCGGCTCACTGCAACCTCCGCCTCCTGGGTTCAGGCAGTTCTCCTGCCTCAGCCTCCTGAGTACCTGGGATTACAGGCACGCGCCACTGCGCCTGGCTAATTTTTTGTACTTTTAGTAGAGATGGGGTTTCACCATGTTGACCAAGATAGTCTCGATCTCTTGACCTCGTGATCCACCCGCCTCGGTCTCCCAAAGTGCTGGGATTACAGATGTGAGCCACCGCGCCCTGCCTAATTTTTTTTTTTTTTCCTTAGAAACAGAGTCTTGCTTTGTTATCCAGTCTGGAGTGCAGTGCTGTGAACATAGCTTGCTGTTGTACCTCAAACTCCTGGGCTCACGCACCCCAGCCTCAGCTTCCCAAGCAGAGCTCTTTTCACCTTAAAAAACAGAACCTCTCTGCTCACTAAGCATTAACTACTCATTTCCTTCCTTCCAAGCCCCTGGTGACCACCATTTCACTTTCTGTCTCTATGAATTTGTCTGCTATAGGTATGGAAGAGGGCATTTATTAACCAAAGGTTTAAATACATTTTAAATGCTAGATATACCTCTTCAGGATTTTCTCTTTCTTGTATTCTTTCTTGTAGAGATGGGGTATCAACCGTTCCTAAATCAAAGGGGGATATTCAGCTTGGTTACTCGCTTAAACTGAAAAAGAAATCAATAACTAAAAACTTCCATTCCATATGATAAAACAGTCAGTGAGATTCTTCTCCTTGACTTAAAATGGCAACTTCACATCTGCCTGCCTGAGGCCTTTTATTTAATAGACTTATAACTTCTTCAATAACATTTCTTTGATTTTAAAAACAGACTATGATTCTTTGTAGGGACTCGGGTGAATCACCCAGCATTCTCAAGGACATATATTTCAGTCACATTGCATTTATATAATAATGCTTTATGGATTTAAAATATTTTCATATGTATATTATCTCAGCTCATTCTCACAGTAACCCTTAGATTTAGATAAAATCATACAAGCACTTTGCCAGCTTAAGGATCCAGTTTGACTCAATGATCTCAAAACCATTCACTGCTGTCAAGTTCACTGTGGGATCTTTGGGACAATCCCACGGCTGCCATAGTCCTTGGTAATTTACGTGGCACTGAATTTTTCTCATCACCTTGCCTATTTTCATTGTTTCAAATTCCTACTTTTAACCACCGTTTCAAGTTTTTAATCAAAACTATAATTTAATATAATTTAAAGTTATTTTACTTTAAAAAAGAAAAAGAGCACTAAAAATTTAAAATTCCACTTAGTTTTTGGTCTCCTAGAGCAAGTTCCCCAGACGTTTTTATTAACTCATATAAACTGTACATTTTCCTTAGAGGCCTTTTTTTCAGACTAATCAGTACTCTGGCAAAGGATGTGATCCTTCTGAGGTTGCAACAAATGGTTTTACAGTTACACTTCATCCTTAGATCACGTTCCTGAGAGTGCCATGGGTTTGATCTTTGCTCAGAAAACGTTTCTTAATTTTAGCATCATTTGCTGTTTTTTCTGGTGAGCTCGAAATCAGAAAGCTTAACTCCTTTTCTGGAACCCCCTATTTATGTTACCTGTCTCTTGTCACATTTTACTATAAGCAGGCCGCGCTTTCAAGACTCTGGGTAGAAATCGCCTTAGTTACATCGCCCAGTTCATTAGTAACATCTTCTACCTTCCTTCACACTACAGGCAACAGTGTTGATATATTTTCTGAAACTGTATGACAAAGATCCCCCCTTTTATCTAATTTTCAATAATATTTTCCTCACTTCCCTCAGTGGCCTCCTTAAAGTCCACAGTTTTACGACCAGTGTGCACCTCAAGCTTTCACTAACAATCTCCTCAAAATCCTTACAGCTTTAACTGCTTTCTCCCTCTGAGGTAAATGAACATCATGTCTTCATTTGACTGGTACTAATGGCTATTAAATAAAAACTGTAGAGCAAGCGCACGCCTTTAGAGGATTCCACAGACATACTATGCCACAAGTCTGGCTGGAGATTTCTGACTGTACAACCATCAGCACCATCCCAGACATACTCAGTCCTCCTCAAGTTTTCTTCTGTGATTGGTTTACTGAGTCACAGCTAGTTCCTTGTTCCAAAGAGTTTGATAACATATTTTCCAATCTTCTGTTAAGTCCAGACGCTAACACAACCACATTTTCCAAATCATTTTACCATTCTTTCCACTGGGTAAATGGCACCAAGAATAGCTAGACTCAAGTATCACCAGGGTGTACCTCAAACCCATTGAAATGATCTCTCATGTATTCTTCTTTTTCTTTGTGTTATCTGTGTTTACATTTCTGTACCAAGAAAAATAAAACAGAACATCTCAATCACTGAAATTTTGTAGCTTGGGAGATGTTTAGTTTTCCCTCTTTGAGTCTGTGGGTTTCAAATGAAGATTCAATCAAAATCTCCTGTGAGACTTTCTAAACAACACAAAATTCTTTCCATGAACTCCTTCCCTAAATTGTGGCATGCCCTTCAGGTGTGAAAGGTCCCCAGGTTGTATTGAAATGTTTCCCTTTCACACTCCCTGCCTCATATCTATAGTACACAACTGAGGGAAATCTTGATCTTGCATATGCAATAGTTAATTTCTTTTTAAAGAACATTAATAATCCTTATTAGATACCCTATGTTCATTTTAAATTGGTAGAACCAGGTAAAAGTGGCTATCAATTTAATAAACACATCTACAGTTATTGAGAAAATGAGACATAGCCACATTTCTTAAGATAAGAAAGTTCTGTTTTTCTTCTTTCCCTTGTATGAGGGATCGGCACACCTTTCTTGGTAAAGAGGTAGTAGCAAATATTTATGGCTTTGAGAGTCATTTTCTTTGTTGCAACTATTATACTAAACTCTGCCATTGTAGTATGAAAACAGCAATAGGCAATACATAGGCAAATTGGCTGTGGAAGTGTTTCAATAAAACTTTGCTTACAAAACAGGTGGTGACCCAGATGTGGCCCATAGGCTGTGGTTTGCTGGCCCTCTTTTTATAGCATAAAGGAAGGTTAATGCCTCCTTTTTATTTATAGCATAAAGGAAGGTTAATGCCTCCTTTTTATTTATAGGCCACCCCAGTGGTTCAAGTGATTTTAGTGGATCCTTGTGTTTTGGGAGGCTCCTCTTACTTTTTCCTCTGTCCTGTGAGCATGATCTGTTTTCTTTTCTTTCTTTTTTGAGACGACATCTCACTCTGTTGTCAGGCTGGAGTGCACTGGCACGATTTCGGCTCACTGCAACCTCTGACTCCCTGGTTCAAGCAATTCCCCTGCTTCAGCCTCCCGAGTAGCTGAGACTACAGGCATGCGCCACCATGTCAATACCAGGCAATTCTAGTATTTTTAGTAGAGACGCAGTTTCATGTTGGCCAGAATGGTCTCGATCTCTTGACCTAGTGATCCACCTGTCTCGGCCTCCCAAAGTGCTGGGATTGCAGGCATGAGCCACCACACCCGGCCGAGCATGGTCTATTTTCATCTTTCTCTTGATATCTTTACCCTGCAAAGGTCAACTCTGCTCTGCTTCCCAATAGCAAGTCTGGCCAACTATGTCTCTTAGCTACTTGATTCTGAATTGTCCAACACATGAGTAGCATTTAAGCCTTTTGCAGCTGTGGCTCGTTCCCAATGACTTAGGATCTCCTTCTCAACTTACACCTGTACTGTTATCTTAATAAGCCCAGCCCCCAACTCCCTTTTTTTGAACTTTTCCTCAGAATACAATATAACATATAGTAAACAAACTTTTGTAGATATCTTTCATGGTGGCAAACACAGTATCAGAAATGCCAAGATCCCAGCCCTGCAGTGCCTTACTCACCTGGGCACACACAGTTGCACCTGATCCCCTGCTGGATGAAGTCTGCAGCCACAGACTTTGTGAGGCCGATCACGGCTGCCTTGGTTGTGCCATACACACATCTGTTCACAACTCCTGAGGGTGGAGGAAAGGTTCAACAATTGAAAAAATAAAAAATATATTTTCCTTTAGAAAGGTAACACAAATAAGTTTTCCCATTAGCCATTTTCATGCTTTCTCCCACATTCCTCCTTTTTAAAATGATTGGTATCAGATTTTTTCCTTTAATACAGTCAGTTTCTGGATCTAGGGAAATAATATCAGTATAGGGACAACTTAATTGAGACTTAATTGAAATACTGAACTTATTTAACATTGAGACCGGTTTTAGTTTCTCATCATCAGTTGTTATAACTCTTAGGCAGATTCCAAAAGAAAATAAGGATTAAGAACAAAGCGAAATAATTAAAGAGGAGGCCTAGGCACGTCTTTACACTCCTCTCTTGTGTATGCTTAATACATGTATCCTGGCAAAGAGAAGAAATGTTATCTCAGCAGTAACTATTTCATTTTAAACTCACAGATCCAAATCTCCCAGATCATGACATAATCCACATTTTGCACTGCTGTCCTTGTCCTTCAACTTGACTTCCCACTGATGGCTCAGATCAACTGTCTATGTGAAGCATTCCACAAACTCACAGCAGTTATTTCCATTCCACAAACTCACAGCAGTTATTTCCCTGTATTGTGACAGCGCTTTGTTCAAACCTCTGTCATATATCATCACACTGGGAAAGATGATGTTTGCTGCCTTGCTCCTGTTTTTGGACTGTGAATTCTTTTGGGGGCAGAGCACATACTGGTG